TCATTTGATGATAATTGTTATAAAACTCATTAGTAGAAATTTTGATATGAATCTTTTTTGAATGAGACATTGTACGGTAATGAATGCACTCAATAGAGATCGAGATGCAGGTGTTTGATGGCGGAAACAATATTCAACTCAAATGTCACTTGCATTCTAGTCAATCAAGTTTGATTTCAATTTGATTTCTCGTGATGTATGAAGGACATAGTTACTTTTATTCATGTTTTAGGTTTATAAATAATTATTAATGGTTTGAATTCAATGGAATTAGTATTCTTTGAAATGATGTAATAAGAGATTCTATTTAATTTCATTTGCAATAGATGACAGAACAACACGTATTATAAACATAAGAAAAAGTTGAACAATTACAAACAAAAATTCTGATTGTTGAAACTTTCATCCTATCAATTAATGTCTGAATCTTAATATTGACATTGTGAATCATTTTTTTTTCGTTGCATGTTTTTAACATTGGATTTTATCAACCAAACAAAAGGGAGAAATCCAATTGTTTTCCTTCATGAATGATTATATATCCATGAATATTTCAGCAAGTTGAATGTTCAGTATATTTAGCTAAATTCAAGAACAAATTAAAAATAGATTTATTAAATAGTTGCTGATTAATTTTTTATGTATTGTTGTAAGAAAAGAAATAATAAAAACCGTGTAATTTTCTTTTTTTCTTCTTGGAAGATTTTTTAAAAACTAAAGCTTAGATCATAAAACAATTTCTCTTATCTTACATAAAAGAATAAAAAACAAAAGAAATCATATTTGATTGAAATTTTGTTTTCTCTAGATATTAAATTCTTACGAGACATCATTGGAATATAACCAATATTGACTTTACACATTTATTCTTTCTTTCAATTGACGTCATGCTAACAAAAAAAAATTCCAAATGACGAGTATTGATTTGTTCAAGTTGTTATTTAAATAATATATATATAATAGGCTATTATATTTTCTAAAGCATATTAATATTCAAATGATACGGACTGTTCCTTTTTATATTTCCAAATAAATTCCAAATCAATAAAATGACCGAAAATCCCTTTCGAATTATTGAATTAGATGAACAAAATTTTCTTCACGATTGTTTAGCACTGAAAACTTTATGTGCTATACCGAATCGAGATTCCGAACATGATGAATTTATTCAATTTTGTCAAGAAAATGATTTCTTACAATACATATCTGAATTTGAATTTCCACATCGTCCAGATGTGGCCATCCAATTGTATACTCGATCATCTGGTTTTTCATCAAAAATTATAAATAGTACCTGTCGAACACAAGATCTTTTATTAATATCGAAAATTCGATATTATCTTAAACATCTTCATGAAGAATTAACACGACTTTATATAGACAGTCTGTTTTGGATACCAAAATTTATTACTGTCTATCGTGGTCAAAGATTTTCAATGGAAGAATTTCAAAAATTAGTTCAGTGTCATGAAAAAACTATTTTAACAACGCAATATCTTTCAACAACGAGCGTTTATGAAATAGCTGTTGCATTTGCCGGTTATGATATTCATTCGAATGAATCATTAAAGGATGAAGTAGCAGTTATTTTTAAAATTTCAATACGAACCAAAAATAGTCATTTAAAACCATTTGCATATATTCAAGAATATAGTCATATTATAGATGAAAAGGAAATGTTAATATCAATGGGAACAGTATTTTCGATTGTCGATATATGCCAACGAGGAGTAAGTATGTTAGTGAATAATGAGTAAGGTGTCGGCAATTCAAGATTTGAACAACATTTTTCTCGCATTTTTTCTTATGGTTCAATAGAACTCGTCGAGTTACTTGTACAAATGTTGTTGTTGACATATTCAGATAATGTTTTCATAGTGAAACCTAGTAAAAATAGGTTTGAAAAAACTAATAATAGCCTAAAAAACTTGAAATATGCCAAAAGCATAAAATCTTGATAGTCTCAATTATTGATTCAAACTTTTTTTCGATGTTATTCGTTGTATATTCAGAAGAAAAATAATGCCTAGTTTTTGAAAAATATTGTTTGATTCTTGAGTAAATCGGTTTTTATTATCTATATGATAACAAAACACCCCTAAATACGGGTTTATAATCTAAGGTTTTGATCATGAGAAATTTAGTTCCAAAATAAACAAATATCATATTCAGAATCACTGCAAAAATCTGTATCGAATAGTATGCTCAATACTCAAAGCTAATTTTCGCCAAATTTCGAGCTTAGGGAAGAACAAGTGGAGCTCATCGGGTTCAAAATTTTCCGAGCAGCACTCGAATCGAGTTACTAGGAAATTTTCAGATTGAAATTCTACCTGGATCAACTTCATGATCGCTGAACATCTGTCAGAGTATTCGAAAATAAAAGTGAGGGGATGTAACTACTGAAATTTCACGAAAATTACTTTTGAGTATTGAGTATAGTATTCGATGCAAATTTTTGCGCTGGTTCTGACTATGATATTTGTTTTCTTACGAACCGAAGTTCTCATAGTCAAAATTTTAGAATATAAATTCGTACTTATGACATTTGCTACCTTAACGAAAGAATCGATTTTCTCGGCAAGTCGCTACAGAGACATTGTTTGAATATGTCAACGATAACACTTATAAAGATAATTCGACGAACTCTGTCCAATCCTGATCAAAAACATTCTGCTCAAATTCTGAATCATCAATACCTTAAAGCTACGTAAAAAAATAACAAACATTTTTACGGTAGGAAAACTTCTACGAAATATTATTGAGACATGATCAAGCTGAAAAAGAAATTGAACAGAAAATATTAAATAAAGCAATCGAAACATTCAGTAATGGAACAACAATTACCATAGGTGATTTTTTAATTTCGGCAAATATTCATAGTCCATTAGATGATGATTTTTATCGTCAGCCATTGACATCATTATTAGAAGAATATTCACAATGCCAATCAGGAAACATTATCAATTCAGGTAAAAATTCTGAACAAGCTTTTTTTCATATGTACTTTTTGATAATAGTTTCTGATCAAATTTTATTATTATTTACTACAGAAAAGGTACAAGAATATCAAAATACTATTAAAATTAAACAGTTATCAACAGAAAGTTTTAAACATTGTAAAACTGACTTTCAAAGAAAGCTTTTTAATGAATTGCTTGTCAAAAAGAAAAGAAATATAAATTAAGTTCAACGTACATTATCATTATAAGACTAAATATTTCCCAATACTCCATCGAAGAAACTTCATAAACAAAAGTCTCTCAGGATCAAAACAAAAACTTCTGTTATACTTATCTTCATTTTTATCTTATTAACAAATTTATGCGAAAGTAAAAAAATTATTTTAAATTTCATTATGAATCTCGTTTTATATAAAGATTTTTCTTTATTCTCATCTTGCATTATTATAAAGAATAAGTAAAATCATATGCATACTTTATATCTTTTGAACAACGAATCTGTTCTTCTCACAATATTTCAGCTTCAACAGAATCTTCAATAATGTCTATACCAATTTGTTCTTTGGGTGTAACTCATGATCATTTAATTATATGGCTCGATCAATTTATTGGTGAAAATAATGTCTATGTTGATCTGAAAGAGACATTAGCCGATGCAGTAGACCTCAACATTGATGCACCTTTTATGGGAGATGAAATTGATACATTAATTTTTAATGATAAAATTTATCATCCGAAAAAAGTATTGATTGCCGTTAAAACTATTGAAGAATGTTTAGACTTAATTCACACAAATCAGAATAAACGAATATTTCTAATTACTTCCGGTTCATTAGGTCAACAAGTTGTACCTGGTCTATTAAATCCTTATCCATGTTTGGAAAAAATTTTTATTTTTTGTGGTTCCATTCGTCAACATATGAATTGGGCACTTGATTTTGAAGATAATTTGCTTATGTTCGATTTTCCCAATGATGTATTGGGACGTGTAGTATATGATATTGGTATGTATTACATGCAACAAGCAATGATTTTTCGTGATTTAAATGAACATGTGAGGGCATTATATTACTTGTATTGCAGTAGAAAATTGGTGAAACGAGCGAATATTATTTTTCATCTAGGTGCATGGCATAGTCCAACAGCAATTGAAGGACAAATTGCGAGAGAAGAAAACTTATTACCTAGAGATTTGCTGCAGCATATGCTCAATAATATTTAGCATGATTAGAATATTTTGTACCTTATTCATAGTCATTTTCATTTATAATCAACGATTAATTCCGATGCTTAAGAACATTTTTGCGTGAAGAACTCATTTATTTATTAATCTCAAACAATAGTCAGATGATACTCATATTATAAAAACCAGTGCAGTTATTAAATACTCAATAGCCACGAGAATTATCTCTTAATCATAAACGATAAACTTGTACGATAAAGAATTATTAATGAGATCAACAGAATACGAATATATCCCGAACATTTATTAAATACTGAATGACCATCGAAATACCCTAATCTCTACCAGTGTATTGAGGCAATGCCTTCAATTTATTAGTATTCAATAATATTATAACGAAAAGTTTCGCTCGCTTCTATTTCAAGCTATGATCATTTTAAGAGGGCTTCCATCAAAAATCTAACTCCCACAGGGTATATGCGGTATTGAGGAAATTTTACATAGATGTTCGGCTCGTGAAAATGCATTAATAAAAAGAATTTCATGCTTTCATACCTTACCATTCAGGCGGTTTCTACGGGCCGACCTGCAGAGTTCAGGTTGCTTTCATTCGAACGAGAACTCCTTACCACTTCGGATGAGGAAATGGATTTTTCTAATTTTTACTCTGTTTCATTTTTCAGATCATCGAAACTTCAAAGGTCTCGAAATTCTTGGCATGGCTTTATGGAAAACTTAGAGTTTATACAGTATCAACGATTAATTAAAAAATTCATTTCACCCATCTGAAAGACTATGTATATATCTATCGATAAAAAAAAACACATCTCTCTAGAATGAAGTAAATTGAGGAAAAATTTGATCGCGCTGCGATCATGGCCGAAAAAAATCAATTTCGAGAGCAATACAAAAGAATGGTTTTCTTTTATGTAGTTTTCCTATTATTAATTAAAATGAAGGTAAAACATAAAAATATTACATATCTATTGAAGCATTTATCTATGCACAAATAAATTTTTTTTATGTACTTGTTTCCTTTCACCTTTTTCTAAACGATAATAATAGGAAGTTTTTACTAGCAAATCATAAGAAATATGGTATTTTATTATATACCAAACATCTACTTTCAGGATATAGGTGAAGCGAAGATCTGCACTCATATATTCAGTCATGAACGATCTGAAAAATATGTCTTTAAAATGCGCCAGCTTTGATTATTCGTGAAAAATCTTTGTTTATATCGTCGATCTGCTAGTTCCCAAGGTCATTCATAAAACCTTTGAGAATTAAAGCTGTTTTTATAAATCCGTACATTAGACAACATGTTCATACGTTTATCTCAAAACTTTGTTTTTTGACGAAAATCGAGTTTTTTTAAGAGAGACTTAAAACTGCAGTGTGTGTACAAACATGCTGCAAAAATAATACAATGCAAAGCCATTTTACTTTCGTTATACCTTACATAAGAAAAATGACGTTGATATATTTTTCTCATAACAATCGAGAGATTAACACTAATTGGTAAGTTATCTA